CTAGTTAATATTAATATTATGTGACATAATGACATGACTAATGTTACTTTGGAGGACACTGGCTTAATTTTTGTCAACGGTGAATATGTTCCAATATGAATAAAGAAAAATGTTTTAAAGCTCTAATCACAGGTCTAATGAGCTGGCAGTGGGCCCCATTCACTAATGATGTGATACATGTATCTTGTTTTTTTTTTTTCTTTTTTTTTGCTTCCTGCCACATCAATAGAGCTCTACAGCTCTGAATCATCATTGTATATGAACAAGTATCACATACTTCCCAGAAGCAACCATTTTAGAAACTGCAATTTTTTCATGAAATAATAAATAAGATAATCTATTATGGGTTTGGAAATCAGGAAAAAAATACTGGTCAATATCATACTTCACTGGAAAATACAGGGCGTCTGGGGTTCTCTTAGTGTTGTTTTTCTTTTTGTTTCTTGTGGCACGTGAGATTATGATGCAAATTCAAAGTTTAAAAATTGAACTAGTCAAAATTTGCTATCAATGAAAATTGGAGAAATTATAAATCAGTGAGACAATAAAAAAATATTTATATTTTTATGGTAGTATAAATTTTCTGTGAGTATAAAATAAGTCTTTTCTGTGTATCAGAATTGTACCAAAAGAGATTGTATCTATAATATAATTATTTTTATACTGTCGCACTTATTTGTAATTTTTCTATGAAAATTCTCTTCTACAAGTGGTTATTTATTTTTAATTTTTTCCTTCGATTCAAATGAAATTATATCGAAACAAGAGTTTAAAAATAAAACTAAACAAATAGATTGCTAGGCTAATTCCTCCCATAACTAACTCCACTCATATCAGCTATGACAACATTCGGGGGTCCTCAAGGATCACAATGTATTCGTTTTATGAGTAATGTTAGAAATTATGAAAAAAAACAATCATGAAAATAATCATAAAATATCCTTACATTTCAAATGCAATAAAATATCATAAATTAAAGAATGAAAAATTTTCATAAAACATTTCATGATATTTTTGTGATAATCTTTTGCCATGACAAATAAATAAATAATTGTTGCTTAAATAAGATCTTCATTGCTTCTTTTTTCTCCGGGAAATTTTCTCCGTGAAAAATATTTTTCTTCTACTATCGAATATGTTTTGATATATTATATACATATTGAATGGTAAGAATATTTCTCTCAAAAAAATGTTGACTTTTTATTTTGTATTTTGCCAGTATCATTTATTCTTTGTTTGGACAGAGTAAAATGAAATTAAAATAAATATCAAATTGAACCATTTTTTTTTTAATATATATATATACACTAGGTATGTGGAGACCATCCTATTAATCCACTGTTTGTGTTGTGATTGTTTGTTGCAATTTTAGCAGAACAGATCTAGCAAATACATAAACTAGACACAATATATATATATATATTGTATGGGTGGACAAATTTTTATTTTTATTTTTCAGAAAATAATTTCACCAACAAAGCTTGTAAAAGCTGGTCTATAGTGTAATTTGTCTAGAAAAATGAGATCTAAGGTCTAAGTCCTCTAATAATATCCTTTATCCCCAATACAAATGGGCACATCTGATAATTTCATTATATTTTATTTTTTGGGTGAAAAATGAATGTTATGTGACATTGTTGATACATGCTAGAAAACAATTGTTTAATAACACACTAGTTAATATGCTAATTAAGCAACTCCTAATATTAGCATTTTCATGGTAAACAGAATACCTTATTCTATTGATGTCATTTTTGTCTTCTTTTTTCTTTTTGGTTTTTGAAAAACATAAAAAGAAAAACCACCAATTCGTCACAGCAAACTCATTCTAACTTCAACTTCAACTTCAACATGAGTATCATATGAGTTGAAGCAAATGCATACAATATGATGAGAATCATGTATTATAAGTTGTATCATTTATTAATTGGTTTGGCTTTCCTTTTCTCACCAAAGTAGAGTTACTCATTTCTATTGTTGGCATTTTTTTTTTCACTAAAAAAGTTATTTCTAAAACACACACACACACACACACACACATATATATATATATATATAATTGAGTTATTGGAGGAAATTAATATATTCTAATTATTCTAAATTAATAGATTGTAATGTGATATGATATAGATATTTTTTAAAATTGATCAACTTTTTTTCTAGGAAAAATTGGTCTAGGGTCCCTCTCCCAATTTTCATAATGGAAGAGATCCACAAAATTATTTTTTGATGTCTAAAGTCCCTCCCTCTATCACAGAGAAATTCAGCCCCCTTCCTTTTGTCTACTCTCACGCACACATACAGACATGTACATACATACATACAGAGGCGGTGAGTAAGCTTGATTTGAGTAGAGAGAAAGTCAAAGGTGACCGATTGCGTCAGAACAGTCGCTGTTGTCACAGTCCGGCATCGGAGGCTAGGGCTTGGAACGGGGCGTGTCTACGGCCTCGCAACCGGATCGGCCATGCTTGGTTCCACCACGGACCGCCTTGTCCTCCGTCGTCTTCCTCAGCCTCTGTGGCCTGATGTCAAGGCAGACAATGTCAAGGTCGTTCCCGTTCAAAACACCTTCACCAGAACCCAATCTCAAACCATTGGAGTCTGGCAGTGAGGTTGCTGATTTGTCACGACCACATAAGCAACAACATAGTCATTATACTCCATCACCAGAACCTGAAACAAAACAATTACTTTTTTCATAGCTAGCCTCTCTCATCTCTTTTTTTTCCTTGTCTTTTGTTCATCAATATCAATTCCAGAGAAATTCAAAATTTCTCTGGAGATAAATTCAGAGCAGAATTTCTCTGTTGATTGGTGTGAAATGGCAAGAGTAAATAGAAATTTGAAACATTAGTACAGCCACTTACAACAGTAGCAACAATGGTGGAGGATCAAACCCACGGCAGAGAAATTTGAAATTTCTCTGGAGTCCATGAAATTGTGATTGAATTGTGATTGAAGAACTATTAATTTGTTTGTGCAGGAAATTGTGATTGAATCAGCAGCAGTAGAACCAAAAATAAATTGATCAAATCAAAGTTTTATAGTTCCAGAGAAAATTCAGAATTTCTCTGAGTTCAACCTAGAGAAAATTCAAATTTCTCTGCTTAATAGCTTCTCACCTTGCAAATTTGCAATGATTATGTGGGTGATAAAGTTCCTAATAGACAAAGCAGTTCCTTTGACTTGGGACTTGGTGGACATTCTCGTCATCTCCTAACTATGCAAAACTGTGTACGCGCGTGTGTGCATGATACATAGAGGGAAGTCGGTACCGTGCCTATTTAGTACTTGTTGCCTTAGTACATCAGTTGGCCTTCGCTTCAAAAATGTTCTTGTGTGTGCTTTTATTCTGGGCTTATGCATGATCTGTTGGTCATACAAAAGCAGCCAAATGTGTCTGTTTATCCATGCAGTTAATCAATGCCTGCAACAACAACAACAACAACAACAACAAAAAAAAAAAAAAATCATTTTTTTCCCCCAAAAAGAAGGGAAGTGATCATTTAAGTGTTGACTAAGTTGTGTATTGAACTTTCAACTTTCTCAAATATCCTATCTTTGGAAGGAACCAAGGAGTTTTTTCAAATATGATTAGACAAAGTGCTACTAATAATGAATTTTGCAGTGATTAATATTCTATGGAGCTTTGGATGGACCTGAAGCCTATTGCTTGTTGCAAAGGTGAAAACTTGGAGCTGTCAACATAAAAGCGTGGCTTCAGAATTTAGGGAACAATATCTGATATGGGCCTTTAAGAAACTTGCTACTTTGTAATTATGGAAGTGGTAACTAATGATTAGGAGATTTGATATGAATCTGCCAGTCATTTCTTTTTTATTATTATTTTTCTTTGTTAACCTGTAAACTGCATTGAATGATTTTATATATCGAATGAATATGCCATTTGTTGTATATTGAAAACTGGTAGGTTATGAGTATTTTGTTTCAGTTAAGTAATTGGGATCAATTAAGTATTTTGTTTCATTTGAAGTTGAAACTAGAGAAATTCTCTGGTTTTTTAACTGAATTTTCTCTGGGTTAAAACCAGAGAAATTTTCAGGTTTTTGAACTAAATTTTCTCTGGGTCTGGACCAATTTTTTCTGTGACGTGAATTTTCTATGGACCAATTTTCTCTGGGACTGAAATTTCTCTGGATTGATGTTGAGGGACCTTAGACATCATGAAAATATTTGATATCCTTTATACTATAAAATCATAATATCAGGGACCTTAAAAAAAATACCCCTATTAATAAATTGCCTAGGTATTATGGTTCATGTATATGGTATTTCATCCATTAATCATGTATCTTGTATTTTTTTCCATTAATGTTCAATCAGATTAATAATAAATTGCCTAGGTATGTAATTTAAATATGAGTACTCTTCCATCTTTGAATTAAATTCTTATTTTGCCTAAAAATTATTTTATTAACTTTATTTTTTTGTATGAATTCAGGGCCATTGTCTAGAACTTTTAATTTATTATGCAACTTAATTTTAGTAATTATATTCCAATGTGGAAAAGAAAAAACAAAAAAGTTGTGAATACTTAGGGGTTGTTTGGGATATCCTAAATAAGTGTAGTTTTTATTTTTTTGGACTAAAAAGTTGAGGGAAAAAATATGAATGTTTGGGTAAACTTTTTGACTTTTTATGAAAAAATGTATAATAAAAAATTGTAAAAATTGATTTTGTAGGGGAAAATTAAAATTGGAAGTTGTGCAACCCTAATTGTTGACTTTTGGTGAATAGTGTTACTTTTTTAACTTTTTGAGCAACTTTTTAACTTTTTAAATTTTTTTATAGAGCAAGGATCCTCTAGAGTGATTTTTTCCTAAAGTTTCCTAAAGTGCTACAGTATATGGTTGAGATTTAGTCACATCAATATAGCACTCTAGGAAACTTTAAGAAATTTTCACTCTAGAGGATCTTTGGTGCTAAAACAACCGTGGTGACAAACATACATACAAATAAAATGTGAAATCCCAAAGTTTTAGATCAAGAAAAAACTTTATTAAAATTAATCATGTGATCTTTTCTTAGGATCACAAATGAAAATATATCAAAGATTAGATTGAAATGGAAATTTTTATCAATCATATAGCATCATCTAAACTAGATTGGATATCAACGAATTTATGCTGCGGATACTGATGGTGATTTTTGTCGAGGTGGAACATTAAGCCAAAACTTCATCATGTCGTAGACTGTAAAACCGATTGCAACAGAAGGCACGATCTAGTAACAAAACCATAAAGCTTTCATTAGTAACAAAAATTCTTCATTAAAAAAATAATGAAAAATACTGTATAATATTATATCAAGAGTCCATTCCTAATACATTACACCAAGATAATCTCTCTCACACCCCAGTATGCTTTTATTACTTACTCCGTCTCATTTTGTTGGTCTACCTATTCATTTTAATCAGTCTCAAAATGTTTGTCTACTTTCTATTTTGAGATATTAAATTTCCAAAATTGCCCATCATAAATTACGATAAACACATTTTAAAATTCAAATAGAAAGACAATGGTGAAAAAAATATTTCAAAATTTGAATTAAAATGTAATGATTACAAGTTTCCTTAATAATAAGTTAAATTTTCTATGATGGGCAAATAAGGGAGTTTATTTTTTAACTTTTTAGGTAATAATTTACCATGAATTGCTGCTAAATTGAAATGCCTAAGCAAGACAAAAATTTGTTTGACCAGGTTCATATATTTAATGGTAAACCTTTGAACTTTAGAATTTTTCAATTCCTTTCTCATTTTTAATTATTGTTATCCATACATATTATTAATATAAGGACAAACTACACCGTCTTTACATTTTGCCCCTAGTGTCATTTTGGTCCCTCCACTTTCAATTGATTCAATTTTGATTCTTAATTTTAAATTTGGTGTCAATTTGATCCGATTGATAGTGTCGTTGGTGTTTTTGACAGAAAATAACCACTGAATTGATTGACATTAACTTACTGCGTTTAGTAAATTTATAGTTTTACTCTAAAAAATATAACACATGTCACTTATATATATATTTTTCATAAAAAATGCTAAGAGTTGTAATCAATTAGACCAAATTGAAACAAAATTATAAATTCATAATTAAAATCGAGTTAATTAAAATTATAAGAACTAAAATGACACAAAGTACAAAGTATATGGACTACTACCCTTAACATAAAATTGATATGTTGAAAATTTAACTGACAACATAGTTATTGTTGACCCTATGGTTTTACCAGTGGCTGTTAAAACAGCCACTTGTTCGATGAACGGTCCGAGTTTCAAAAGATTGGATTTCACCCCCAAAAAAGACTCTATAATTATGTAGCTGTATGCGTCTCAAGTTAGCAACAAATAATGAAAGTTCATCAGAGCCCAAATGAAAGCCCAACACAGCTACTCACAGCAAAAGTGCAGTCATTTATGGAAAATAAGATATGCGATGGACATCATCAAATATGGTAAAAAGAAGCAACATTAAATGGTATCTAATGAATTAATCATACAACTAAAGCAAATACCTTAATGTAGTTAATGCTTAGCCCAGCAAATAATTGTGTCCACCCTTGATTCCGAACAATAGTTGTGAGGCCATCCAATGTATTCCTGTATCTGGCACCATTTTGTATTGAAGGTTGCAGATGCTCAACCTGAAAAAAGAAGCAGCGTAAACTAATTAAATAAATAAAACATTTTTAAAAAAAAAACTTCATTTAGTGCTCCCAAGTCCCCTGCCTAAATCATAGATATCCTAAGAGTTTAAACAAGGTTCTCAGAGCCACGTACCACGAACTTGACCAAACTGTACTTCCTTGGAAGACTTGATTTAATCTATTAATCAGCCATCAAGCTAGTAGTTTATATCCAATGTTTTTAAGATTATGAAATTGCATTAAATTTCTGACTAAACTGATTGGATTTAGGATGGGGTATCTTGAACGCACACTGCCCAAAATAAGCATGGTTCAGTCTCAGTCCCAAGTCAAACTCCAAACTGGTTTCATATATCTTTCCTGTCAGTTCCTACTTCGGAAAGCAAGATCATACCTGTTTCTGCTTCGCCTCATCTACAAAATCACTGCTAAATACATACCTATTTCAGCTTTGCCTTGTCTACCAAATGATGGCAATAAAATGATCTCCTACTCCCACTAAATGATTTCATCCAATCTTATTGTGGTGCTTCCTCAAGATTTTTTTTAGTGGCTTTTCCTTGGGATCATATAGGCAATGGATCCAAATTTCATAGTCACAAGTTGAAGTTTGCTTTCAGACAAGCAAAAAATTGATACTTCAACTTTGATCACCACAGAAGCTGACTATATTTTCAAATCATAACATCCCTAATTGGAGTCATTGAAACCACGTCTCATAATTGAAAAATCAATCCAGTTCCTTACTAGGCTCAGCAGAAACCCTAACCGCCAGACAGCTCAGTGCAACTAGAATGACTCACTAGGTCAGGCAGATCCATAGTTCACATCATAGTTACAACATCAGCTGATGTCATCACAATAACCTAATTGACCCAGCTATAGAACCTTGTTGTAACCACCATTTGACAAGCCACTTCAACAAGTTTCTTGGTCAAATGGTCAATAAGCCTTTAACTCCATAGTAACAGTTAATTTCCTTATAACATTATTAGCTTCATGTCTATCACGGCCTGATCTATGATCAAGGTTCTAAATCACAGTGCAGCTGCCATCATGATTGCAGTTGCAGTTGCGGTTAAGCAGGCATAAGGGATAACAGGTGATACTAACTAACACACATGCAAAGGCAAAAGTTGTGAATTTTATTCTATGTTCTGCATAATTCCCCAAATATTACAAATATATGTATGTTTTATTCCAGAAATAAAAAACAATTTATAAACATTGCTTTAGGTAATAAATTTCATATTATATGTAGAAAGTCATTTCCAAAAAGAATGTACTTTCTTTCTTTGAATAATTGTCATTATGGATATGTTGAACAGATAGACGCATAATTTACAAAAAATAAAATAAAATAAAAGCAAGAAGACGAAGAAGGTGTAAAGGAGTATGAAGCAATACCTGCATCTGCCTCCTAACGACATCCAAGGGGTATGTGAAGGTCTGCCCAAACAAACCAGCCAAAGCTCCACAAGAAAGACGCATTCCAATGGAATTTTGGTGCTCCTCAGGAACATGCCTCTTTAGTTCCTCATATATGTAAAACTTCAAACCAGCATAAGGAAGAATACCAACGAGTGTTGGACCTGCTCAAATTACAGCTTCAGTCTTTTTACAACTTGGAGAATTTATCAAACGACTTCAAAACACAACCGTAATGCAAACTGGTAGTTCACAATTCAAATAAATCCAATCAAAAGTATCACAGAGGGATAGAAGCTCTCATATAAAGATCAACTTAAATAGGACAGCATACAAGTTTTCCAAAATTATGAGCCTTCATTAAGCTATAACATTTATTATCAAGAGCTAAGTAGCACGGACACAGACACGCGACATGATAAAGATACACGACATGATAAAGATACACCGACACCATAACTTTCAAAGAATGCAGGACACGATATGTGAGGGACACATACAAAATATATAGTTCTATATATTTATCATGAAATCAATATTATTCAAAGATAACAAAAAAATGCAACATAATATCAATTTCTAAAAATCTACTTCGTTTTTCTTTTATAATTGTATCATAAATTATTTTGTTCAAACTTATTATTAGCTTTATTTGTGTCTAATTGTCTGAAGCGTGTTCTAGTCTAAAAAAATTATACAAAAATAATAATAATAGGATACGTTTAGAAGAGTGTTCGACAGCATGTTGGCAAGTGTTGGTGTTAGACAAAGATACACAACCTTCTTAGAAATGTTAGTGATTCTTAGAATCAAGAATCTACCATGCCCATAAATAGTCATGCAATAGCAATACATTGTACATTATGTAGGAAGCATATAATTTACCTACACCCCGATACAGTGCACGTACTCCCCCTTCTTTGTAGACGCACTCTAATACATTTTTTATGCCATTGTATGCAGGTTGCACATGAGTACTTCTCATACCATTACTGAAACTTCCACTTGTGTCCACAACCTTGAAAAAAAAACAAGTACCAAAATAAAAATGAGAAAGAGATCATATAAAAACATTCCAATGCTGGGGCAACCATTTAAAAATAAAATAAATTCCGTAACAGAAATATTTGAGCATATATTAATAAGAAAAAGCATGGGTAACTTACAGTTTTCACCCTCATAGTTTGACCTAAATTTCACTTTAGTCTCTATTGTTTCAATTTGAACAATAAGAACCCTAGTAGTCCTTTAACTCTAGTTTCAATTTGGTTCTTTCATGAAAATTCACGATTTTTTAAGTCATGTCACTCACATGAGTAGTATGCATGAAAAAAATAGACGATAATTTGGGCAGAAGGACATGAACATGTTATTAATCCTAATAACATAAACGGTTATTATGAGGTATTTGTTATTTGATCCTAATAACATGTTCATGTGCAATTGCTGTAAAATTAGAATGAAGAACAAAACAAAATTATTATTTGCTCATAATAACAATTGCACACAAACAATAGCATATAGGAGAATCAATAGCATATTACGATATACTAGTTGTATTGTAATTTAACAATTTAACTACTTTAAGTTAGATTAATGTTATGAAGAGACCCACATCACCCACACAAGAGAGAAAAACTAAGTCAAAAACGTCTACACGAGCTACTTACCTGGTAAGCAAGTTTAGTACGAGCCAAATCTAGGGGATAAGTACACAATAAAGTTGTTGTTCCTCCAGCTACTGAACCAGCTAAAAGATCTACAACGGGACCTGTTCCCAAGGCAGAGTAGTTATCCAAGATCCAAACACGATACTGCTCATATGTCATAAAATGTAATGCTGCATAGGGAACAATCCGAAGAACACTAGCTCCATTTCCTCTAGAAGAGATGATAACCATGAGTTAAAACAACATGGTCCGGGAAACATGTCAAGAAGTAAATGATCAAATCTAATCAATTAAAACTTACTTATAGAATCCTGAAACACCTTCATTCTTTAATATCTTCTTTAATGACTGATAGACCCCCAGAGAATGGAACCCTTCAGTTCTAGTCTATAAATATCCAAAGAGAGGGGATTAGGAAAATATAAAGTGATTTATACATATTTGGAGGCTACAACTTGGTGAAATGTACATCTAAAATAAATCAATCATCAGAAAGAAAATGTGATGAACATCTAACAAGCAATATACAAGAAGCACCAAAATCACAAATTCAAATCCTCATTAAAAGAAATCAAAAAGCTCCGAAAACATAATAAATCATTATAAATAAGTAGTTCATTAATTAAACAAATGTCACTCCTTAAATATTGTGATGGAGATATATATCTCTAGGGTAAGAGAACAGAAAAAAGAAAAAAAGAAAAACATATCATATTGTGATCTTAATATACATTTCACTTCAAAAATAAACCAACAAGGACGAAAGAAAAAAAGAAAAATGATCTAATATATAAAAAATAATGACAGAAATGGAAAAAAATGGCACATGCTCAAGCATGGTACAATTGGAATAAGCTGATTTAGATTACATAGATGGAATGCGATGAGGAATTCCATGTGTAAGAGCAATTTAAAACTAGTAAATAATTAATGAGATAATTATATAATTCGAAAACAAAAATTGATATTTACTTTTTATTTTTATTGTTTATATTTATATTTGAATAAACAATGTAAAAGGATAAGAGTTGTATCTGTCCCATGTCATCATATAGTTGATACGATGTGCTTTTTCATCCTCATCCTCCCTAAAACTCCTTTGCCTAAGCAGATTTTTTCTATAAGACTCCAAATCTAATAGATAATTGTTCATTAATTTTAGGATTTTAGCGTTTCTGTACTCTGTCCCAAATGAGAAAACATGTTCTTCAATGCTCAATGTGTAAATGACTGCCATAAAAGATAAACCTTTATAAATGAAAAAAATAAAGCCTCAAAAAAATAAACAACAAAACAAAGTGAAATTGATGAGCAAATAAAATGTTACCTACAATGAGTAACAAGCTTGAACTAACTAGACCTAAAAACAATTTACATGGAAAAACAGAGTGAATTATGAGCAAGAGGAGGCAATGAATTGAAAACAAAAAAAATTAAAAGAATTACCTGCAAGAGTATTTTAATCCGTTCCAGAGGAGCAACAGAAGTTTTGCCAACTGCTCCAGCAGCACCCCCCGCGATAAGCTCCTTGACATAGACCGGCAAACAATCAACATAAGAAACCTCTCTACGCGCAGGAGACCCGTCAACAAGCCCTGCCACATTTGTGGACAATGTAGACCTTTGCGAAGAACCCATCTCAGTTACTTCTATTGAGACCAAATTTAAAAGAATTCAAAAACATATAATTATCCTCCCTGAAGTTTGAAGAACTCTTTATCCCACCTATCTCTTGGAATGCAAAATAAGAAGGTTTTTTGTTCAATGGGCAGAGACAACAATGACCTGAGAACACCCGGAAACGAGTTGGGTACGTTCACAAGCCGATCCTTTTCTTCGGTAATAACAAGATACATTCAACAAGTGAATTCAAATTATCAATCCTTCTTCAATTCAAGCATTGCCCACATGAATCAATATCAAATTTGTCAATAATGTCTATCTATCTATAATTCAAATTTGTCAATGCCCATAGAGACCACAAATCAAACACCTTCCACGCAAACAATGTCCACCTACATCCAAGGCCAAATCAATCACTACCCACAACAAATCTACACCAAAATTTTGAAAATACTGGTAGAATAATCAGAACCCACTCAACATAAACATTGCCCAAGTCGATCTAAGATCAAAACACAGAAACCATTTCCAATTCGAAGATTTTGATTTAAAAAAACACAACAATATGGGACGAAGAGATTGAAGAAAACCTACAAGGTATCGAATGGGTCAAAGGAGAGCAGGCAATACAAAAATTTGACAACCCGTTCTCCTTCACCGGGGGAAGGAGGAGGTTGCCTTTTTTGTAGGTTTTCTGTCAGAATCTTCTTCTCAACTTTCTCAGTTTTGGAATTAAAAAGGCAATAAATAAATATTGAGTGGCCTTTGAAATAAAAAAAAAAAATTAAAAAAAAAATAGTTGATTTTTAGAGTTGGAACTTTTTTAATATTTTGGGAAGATGACAAAAAGTAATTTTTTGGCTTTTAACCAAATTTTTGACTTTTTTAGACAAATGATTTGAGAAGTTGGTAAAAAGTGAGTTTTGACTTTTTTGATTAATGTTTGTTTATGATGTCAAATCATAATAAAATGACCAAACTACCCCCATTTATTTAAAATATTTACGACTTCACCTATGTAACACATTTTGACCCATGAGGGTAAAATTGTAATTTTACCGTTGGCTAAAAACCAACTTCCCAAATGAAAAAAAAAAAAAAAGACAAAAAAGCCAACTTTTGGCTTTTGCTACAAACCAAAAAAAGTGACGTTTAGCCAACTTCCCAAAATAGCCCTTAGAATTAAAAAGTTTACTTGGTAAAAATTTTTTAGTTTTTTTTTTATTTTTGTAACAAAAAAAAGTGAAATGATTATAATTTAAAAGTGACTTTTTAACTTAATTTATCTTTAAGCATTACTATTTAAAAGTTATATTCATTTTTTAGATTTAGGGATACCAATCATCTTCTTAATATATTACTCATAATTGATTCGTAATTAAATTTTTTTAATTATCAATTAATTATTTTTTGACACGTAATTAAATCTAAAAAATATATTTTATTTTTTTTTTATCTTTATTTATTTTATTTTTTTTAATCCCAATTGAAATAATCAAACTATGCGAGAAAGGAGGAGTTTCAGAGGCTTTGGGCCGCCCTCGTGAAATCGTGTCGCGCACGAATGCAGTTATGGGAAAGCCTAACATACGCTGAAAATCATCATAAGAATTCGGAATATCACGTGTTTTGTGATTTATTAGGCCAAGTTTTGGAAAATCTTAAAAAAGTTAAAAAATTATTTAAAAAATTAAAAAGTTATTACTATTTATTAAAAGTCAATAATTACGATTGCATAACTTTTGATATTAATTTTTCTCTACACATTAATTTATATAATTTTTTAATACACATTTTTTCATAAAAAGTCAAAAAATTAACCTAAATATTCATATTTTCAATCTCAACTTTTTAGTCTAAAAAGACAAAAAGTGCACTTATTTAGGACACCCCAAACAACCCATAATTGTATTTCTATATTAGGATAAATTATTTGGTTGTTCTTTCTTCCATTTGGTGTTTATAATTTCAATTAATTCAAGTTTAATTTTTAATTTTTAATTTTTAATTTTTAATTTTGTCTTGAATTAATTGATAACACTAATTAGGGTTTTTGAATGAAAATTATTATTAAATTAATTAAGGTTAACTCATCAAGTTAAAAAAGCTTATCATTTTTCTTATAAAAGCATAACACATCATGTTGTTTATATGTGCGTTTTTCATCAAAACAATATTAACAATTGTAAAAAATTAAATTAAATTAAGATAAAATCATAAATTTAATATCAAAATTAAGTCAATTAAAATTATAGGGACTAAAAAAATACAAAAATAAAAATATAAAAAATGTTAATATAATTTATTTATTTATTTATTGAATGTAAATCTTGTAACCCACTTTGTCATTGAGGGTCCCATTAAGAATTGATTTCTTTTTAAAGTGTTTTTTTAGTTTTTTTTTTTTAATGAAAATATGTATAAAAAAATAAAGAGAATTTATTGATTTTTATTTTTATTTTTTACCCAATGAGAGTTTATTTATTTACTTAAAATAAGTTTATAAATAGATTAATACTTTAAATTATTAGTTTGTTTGGTATATTTTAATTTAAAATATTTTTAATAATTGTTTTAACTGGCTTAAGCTGATTTTCTTTTTCTTTTCTTTTTAAGATAAATTACAAATACACTTTTTGAGATTTATTTAAAATATGAATTATCCTCTATAATTTTGAAAATTATCTCGCCCCTTGAAATTTTTAATTTCATAACAAATATCCCTCTATTAATAAAATATCAATTTAATTAACAATGTTTAATTATATCAAAAATTTATTTTAATTAATAATTTAGGTAATTTTATTATATAGGAGAGTAGTTATAAATTTTATTTTTTTAATTAATTTTGTTAAATAAAAAATTATAATAATGAAATATTTGTAATTTTTTAAATCACCAGATCAATCTATATTTTAAAATAAATCTTATTGGGTATATTTATAATTTATCTTTCTTTTTATTATGAAAAATGATGGTAATCTTCTTTCTTTTTTTTTCAAAATAGGCTTAGAGGTCATTTGTGATTGACTTTTTAGTGTTTTTTTTTTTAAAGTTTGATTAACTCTTGAACTTTTATGTAAAATGTGAAGTGACTCTTTAACTTTTCTTTGTTAATAATAAATAATTTTTTTAACTAATTTAATAAAAAAAAATTGGTTTTTTTTCTTATAAGCGAGAAGTTATTAGTTGGTCTATAGATAACGTCACGTAGCGCTTTATTAGGGGTGTAAAAATGGCCCGAGCCCCGTGGGCGGCCCGAACCCCGTGGGCGGCCCGAAACTCGACCGAAGCCTGAGGTGGGTCCGGCCCGTTTCGGCCCGATTAAGCCCGAGCCCAGCCCGGTATCTTGGGCCTGGGCCTGGGCCTTCCCATTTGAGGCCTGGCCCCGCCCAAAAAAATTTCAACCCCTGCAGGCGGCCCGGCCTAACCCTGCCCACAAACCCTCTCTCTACCAATAATCAAATTTAAAAAATAAAAAATAATTAAAAATTAATTAATTAATTAATCATGTAAAAATAAAATAATTAAATAAATAAAAAGATTAATCTTATAAAATAAAATAATTAAATAAATAAAAAGATTGATTTATAATAAATAAATAAATAAATAAAAAATAAAATAAAATAAAAAGATTGATCTTATAAAAATAAAAATAAATAAAAGATGATCTTATAAAAATAAAATAATTAAATAAATAAAAAAGATTGATCTTATAAAAATAATTAAATAAATAAAAAATTGATTTTATAAAATAATTAAATAAAAATTAATATAATTAAATAAATAACATTAATAATTTAAAAATAAAACAAAAATTAATAATAATTTATTAAATTAAAATCAAATTAATAATTTTTGATGGGAAAGTATGATGTATCACGCCACCCACGCCTTGCCACACTTTGGCTGGCAGTGGCAGTGCACAGTCTGTGGTGGCCTTCATTTTTTTTTTTTTCTTTAATTTTTTATATTATTGTTTGATGGGAAAGTACATACTGTTGAAAGAAAAAAAAATTACATATATATATTTATAAATTGGACGGTAATATTGGGCCCATGGGGGCTCATCCGAGTCCCGTTTTTGATAATCCGAACCGTTCAATGTGTAGAACTCATCCATTACTATATGCCTGTAAAAAAATCATATTAATCGGATATCGCTAACTACATATCAAATCAATTTTGTATAAAAATACATGGTGTTATAGTTAATGGTTGACAAAAAAAACTAATCTGATCAGATAGTTATAAAGATCCAATCAAGTTGATTTTTATAAATATATAATACTCGACGAGTTTATACATTGACAATTCCATTAGCAAAACGGGACTCGTGATGGCTCCCACTGGCCAAAGAGCACAGCCCCAAATGGTTGCCCGAAAAAGAGGCAACCGTTCCTAAAACTTTACTGCCACTGCCAGCCTCCCCACCTACTTTAGTACTACCTAGCTAATCAAAATTGAGCCGTTGCATTGCATTGCATCTCTTACTTTAAATGCAACTCAACGATATATATAAATATATAAACGGTCATAATTCAAACGGTTATAATTCAAACTACTATAAAATATTTCTTTTTTTTCAAAATAAAATTCACAACAATTCATCTCTCTCTCTCTCTCTCTCTTAAACTCTCAATCTCTATCAACTCTCAATTAATTTTGAAATGTCATCCCTAAGTGGTAATTGCAATTGTGCAACAAAAACTTTTAGCAGAGAAGAAAAATTTCTATATCGCATTCGCTAGTCGGTAACATTAATTAGTTTAATTAAATTTATTAACTACTCATTTTTTTCATTAATTATTTATGTACATACATTTAATTATTATTTTTTACTGATTGAATTTACACATTATTTGAAATTAATTGTTAATTCTATATATTGTTTACTTGCATTACTATGGATCCTAATATGCCTTAATGTTTATGTCGATGTTGATACATATACTACACCACATGAATCTGTTGATTCTCCTTCTAATATCCCTCATCCAACAGTTGGATCATCATCTAGGAGCAGAAGTAGTAATGTTTGGGAACATTTTGAAAAAATATCTATAAAATCCTGATGCACAATTACATTTAAAGCAAAATGTAAATATTTGTACACGTTTACTTAGTGTTGCATCTGCAGAAGGTACTAGTCATTTAAAAGGCATTCTGACAAACATTTACAAAGTAAACAATCTGATATTCGAAGTCAAATACAATTAGGGGCTTCATCAATTGGTAATTTGCAAACATTTTCGTATGATCCTTATACGTGCACCAAATTCTGAATTTGATTATATTATTAAAAAAGAACAACCTTTTTATTACTAATGAAGTCCTAATTTTACTGAAATGATTCATGAAAGTTTGCACCGCAATATCAAAATTTTTTCAAGAAATACTATAGAACAAGATTTAATGAAATTAAGGAATTAAAAGTGATTATTTGATATCTTTTAAAAAATTTTGAATGGAAGAGTTTGTTTGACATCTGATCTGTGCGGTCAAATAATGGTTTTGAATATCAATGTATCACTGCACATTTATTAATAATGATTGGGAAATTAAATAAAGAATTATTTCATTTAAATTAGTTAAACTTTCCATCACTTGGTCATTTTGCTTGGTGTTAGAATAAGAAATGTATTATATGAGAGCTTTACAAAATAAATATTTACGATTAGTTAGATAATATATCATATTATAATTAAAACTGTAGCCATTTAAATCAAACTTTAC